GGAAAGAGTTTCTACTAAGATACCTAATCCATTTAGGGCTAAACCAGACAGACTATCCAGCAAACTGAAACCATCTGACTTGGAGTACAGAGAAATCCTTCTACTGGAATGGAAAGAGTTTCTACTAAGATACCTAATCCATTTAGGGCTAAACCAGACAGACTATCCAGCAAACTGAAACCATCTGACTTGGAGTACAGAGAAATCCTTCCACTGGAACGGCTGGACAGCAATATCTTGCAGAAGGATAATGCAAACAGTTGGGAGATGATGAAAATCTTCCACAGCACAGCTCTTCACGTAGTAAATGCCTATCTGTTGCCTTTGGCTCACTAAAAGACAATTAAAGGTTTCCTTATGTCTGTGTTATTTACAGTCACTTGCTTATGAGTCAATAGAAACATTTGGTGCAGGAGCAGTCTGTGAAAGAGGGTGCCTGCCTGTACCTCTGTTTCCATATCATCAACATCCTCCGAGCCATCAGGTTACACAAAGAAATAAAACCAGTGAACAGCTTTGCTGGAAGGGGGACTAAGAAATCCTTCAGCAAAGAGTGAAAGACAGCTGGAGACAGGCAATGAAGTTTAGGGTCAAAACACTGATAGAGGCAGTGTCTAAAAAAGCCCAAGAAGGAAAACCAGGAATACAAAGATGGAAGAAGAAATCTCCATGTTCTAGGATGCTTCATTTGTATTTCCTATTCCCTCCTTCTTCCAGACTCATCCTCTCTCTCAATTGTTATTTCAAATAGTTCTTCAGTCTCTTTCTCTGCTTACAAAGTATGTGGCCTTTTATTCAGCTGCAAAGAGCTTAGATGCTCTTACAATAGCAAAACAGGACTTTGCTGTTCTTTAGCACACAGTCAGGCAATAGTAGCAGTCATACAACACGTGCCTCAAAAAGCCCTATGTGATGATTCCTCTGGTGATGAGCCTGTATTAAAGAAAGCAGAGTTGACTAAGAAACCCAAAACCAACTGTGGTCAAAACCTATGTCAGGCTGCTGCTGAGAGGAGGGCTCTCTGCACCAGCTGGCTGCCTGGGCTTGGCTGATACCCTAGTGCTCTGCAGGCACCTCACCCTGAGCATCTTGTTAAAGAGGGAGAAACTTGGCCAACAAAAGATGCTCAATATAGAGCTGGGCTGATGGGGCATCGATCTGTTTGGTGCAGCTGTGACTGTTTGCCCACAAGCAATGACTCTTCCAGTTGCAGCTTAGGATGCGCCATGTGCCCAAGCAGCCGGGGACTGCAAATCTGCAACGCATTGACTTCAGTGTCCCTTCAGGTGTGTGACTGCAAGCAAAGCTGTTACTCACAGCTTCTCCAGGGGCTCCAGATTCTCCTTGGGCTCCTTTCTGCCCCTTTGTGCCCTTTGCGGAAAGAAGAGAGATAGAAGCTGATTAGACATGGGACAGGACTGCCTGCCAGACAAAAAGACTTTAAGAACTTGCAGTAGGCAATGCTTTTGTTAATCAATTCACAGTATAACAGCTGAGGAAATGGCTCTCAGTCCTGTGTGCAGACAGAAAATGAAATATAAAAATAAACCCCTGAGACATAAGAAGAATTGCTAATGACTGATCAGCTCAGAGGCTGTTTCTCAGCACGGGATGTTGACACTTGCAGGCATTCATCTGGGTGAGACTCTTTCCTACCCTCAGGCCTAGCAGCTATTTCATTTCCAGTTTAACTCTGAACATCTCCCTTCACAGAGACAGTTTTGCCTGTAGTTCTCAAATATGAACAACAGTTATTTGGAAATGGTCAGAATAGATCACAGTGCAGAGGGTTTGTTCTAGTCCCACATACCACGTAGCTCTTCAGGATTTTGGCAGGACAGGGTGTACTCACTGAACAGTACCCTACTTAGCACATGTTAGTTAAAACTTGCATGGTTATTACTGTTTTATTCATAATGCTAAGAGTGCTGCTAACCTGATGATGACCAAGTAATGGCCAATTATATGGCTTGGGCTGTCATATATACACATGTGATGGCAGAGAGAACACCCACCCATGGTGACTTGAAAACATACCTCAGTGACAACTGGAAATAGTATGTGTGAGCCAAGAAGTTTTCAGAAGATAATTAAGACTCTAAAACCATTTCACAGGAGCCATAATGCATTCAAGTGCGTTCAAGGTCAAATGGGCTGATGTTGAATCTAGATGCTCTGCAATGTTTTGGCAATGTGCTGCAGTAGCGTATCTGTGAGACCTGTGGTCTGGTGGCATCAATACAAAGATGCCCTTTTAAAGAGAACCAAAGTTGGAAGGAGTCTCTCAGACAATACTGATCATGCTACAGAGATGCCATGTTTATGCTCTGATTTTCCTGGTGTCCAGCACAAGTAGATACAAAAGTCCTTGAACTTACAACAATGAGGAAAGAAATGGGCTGTTCGTGTATAGGGGAAGAACTATTTACAGTGATACAGACCTTGAAGGCACCTCTCTCTGACCGTATCAAAGGTTTTCTTCAAGGCTTAGCCCTCTTACCTCTGCTCCTGCAGGTCCTGGGACACCTTTTTCACCTGGGATCCCAGGTAAGCCCTGAAAAAACAGAGGGAGAGAGCTGAAGGGGCTATAGGAAACTGATCTTTTCTTCTCCTCAGCAGAAGGAGATGTCTTTCCTTCCTCCCACTGAGAAGAAAGGGTGGTTTTCACAAAGACTGTGACTGCACAGGACTCTGTGTCTCCTAGGGGCTCAATCCAGAGCAAGAAGAGCCCAGAATACAAATGGAGCAGCCAAATGCTGGGCCACATCACTTCGAAACCCTTAATAAATCCTGTACAACCTTACTGACATCCAGGCTGTCTAGCAAACCCTACAGTCCTCTTTTCAAATAGTAACGTCCAGAGCCATATATCAGGTCCTTAAATTCATGTAGTCATGTAGCTTTCTCTACAGTCAATATAAAGCCAAGCACGTCTGTGGCCATTCCTGTTGAGAGAAGCATCCCAGCTATGGAAGGAGCATGTCCCATTCTCTCCCTCCAAAACAGGCAACTTTCATGTCCTCTTCTTGCTAAAGTTCAAAGCCAACTGAAGAAACACTTGGTTGTACTTACAGGTTCTCCACTTGTTCCTTGATCTCCTTTCTCCCCTTTTGGTCCAGGTTCACCCTGATGTAAAACAATAAGACAAACAGAGAAATAAAAGGTTGTTTCCATGGCTACAAGTCACACTAATCGTGTGTGCCAAGCGGGCTCTTTCAATCAGTTATCCATTTCTGACTTAAAGGAGCTTCTTCAAAGGACTTTGAGGTCAATGAAACAAAACTGATACCATGCACTAAGACTTGGAGATCATTGCCTAGACTTTTTGGGTTGTTATGCAGTAATTTGGAAGAAGAGATTGTTTTTCCCTCATAGAGAACAGTAGTTAAAGAATTTGCCATTCCAAAATTCACTCAATTCAGCTCCAGTGTATTAAAAGGTCAGATAATATGACCAATTGCAAAAACACCAGTACCACTGCACCACATCCCTGTAGGACCACAGACCTAATGTTATCCTGCAGCTGCGGAAATGATTCACATACAGACAGTTCCCTATTCCACCTGTAAGAGAGACGTGTTCAGAGTTTTATCTTAGGCACTTCCAGAGAGGTGCGCTATGTAGGTTTTCCTAATCTCTAGTTCTGTTAACATCTCCATACATCCATGCCACTTCTGCTGCCTCCTGCAATGTCAATACATTATTTCATGCACAACCATCACTGACTAATAGGATTAATTTATTCCTGTTCTTCCTCCTTACAGTAAATTGAAGGTGCTTTCAGATAGAGGTTCATCAGCTTCGTTTTGAGCTCTAGAAAAAATAATCAATAATTCCATATTTCAGCTTTCTATAAATTGAAAAGGAACAGCACACACCTGTGGAACCAGCTGGAATAAACCAGGCACTACGTGAACACTCACATTTGTATATTTTTATGAACATATGTATTCAGGCAACAGCAATCATTACTTATTCATTATTTATCATACAAAGTGTTTCAATTATGCAATCAAGGAAGAGTAAGAACATCAGTGATTTAAGCTTCATACACACACAACGAATAGTGATCAGTCAAAATGAAGAGCCCAAGACAAATCATCTTGAATTTTATCCACGTCAGCTATTTGCCAATCATTTCTGCAACACCTGGGAATTCTAAGTCCAATTGCAAATTAATCTCTAACAGACCAAACAAATGTAACTGCATAAATATTACTGATGTCTGAATTTATTATGCATGATGAATAAATATTATCATCTGTGATAAATAATAGGAGGAGGAATTTCAGGCTGCAAGTATCACCCCGTTAGAGCAGTTTTTAATCAGGCAGTCCCTGATGCCATCTAGTGGCCTTCAGAAAGGTAATGAGGTTACCAAAAGTACTTCAAGCAAAGGGTCCTGTGCAACAAGGTGCAATATTTGTCATTAAGTGGGAATAAGGGCATGTATTACTAGGGAAAACAAGATTGCAATGGGAAAAAGTAACTCAACAGGTAAAGGAAGGAAGGTTTTTTAATGTTCTCCTTTCTCCCACTTTTTCCTTGGTTATTGACTTTCACAGTAACGAAAAATCAGCAAAATTCCAGTCTATTGTCCTTACACAGCCACAAACACGGGCAGAGCAGCATTTCTTACACAACCTGCCAGCAAATCTGCTTGTGACTCCTTCCAGATTTACCAAACCCACAACTATGTGTTGACTGTTACCACTGCCCACTAGTGCTGCACATTGTGGAGACATCTACCCCTGGCAGCTGGACTTAATCACTGCCACCCTTTTTTTTCGTATGGCTTAATGAACAGAAATGATGCAGGGACAGCTAACAGATGCTACCAACCTGGTCCAGATCAGTGCTTGCAGCTTTCCTGACCTGCCCAGGAGAGCAAACCTGCTCTCCTGTCATCTCAATTAAAATGTTAGCCATTTCTGTGCCACTTAAAGGAGAGGAAATCCAGTGGGGGTTCAGCCCAGTTGAAGTGGAAGATAGAACTGCTACCTTCTATCCAGGCTGTGTTTCCTGGTACCATACACCACATAGTCAGTGGAAAGCAATAGCAAGTATTGTGTTTTGGCAAGTGCCTGACAGCCTTCAGCACCCTGCTGGTCCTGCAACCTTTATAACACAACCGATGACACATTCCTAAGGCTTATCACCACCTTCTGACACCTTAATTTGTAGAGCCATAAATCAAAAGTAACTATCCTTACCTTTGATTTGCAGCTCCCAAAGCTTGCAACACTATGTACAAGACCTGTGCTACAGTATCATCACATTCATCTTACACATAGAGGAACCCCAGCAACCTGACCTGCCAACACACTTCAAACCTTTTATTCTTTACTGTCTTGCAGCTCATTTACAAGACTAACACACTCAAAGCAGAAGAGATAACTCCTCCTGTGACTGTACCACTACAGACCACATAAGATGTCATCATTCTGCATATTTCCTTAGTAAATATATTAGCAAACAAATCAAGGGGAAAAGTGAATCAACAAAATCTTATCCCTATTTCCAGTACTATCTCACATCCTATTTCCTTCCTCAGCCTCTGAAGAACCTAACATATGCACTTTCTTTTGTAATGGCATTATTACAGCCATACCTCTGCCGTTTATACATGTCATAAAGCCTTCTGATCCTTAACAAGTTTATTCACATACCAGTGGTCCAGTCCTATGTAATGAGAGGTATTTCCCACAATGTATTGTAAGTGGAACTTTGTTTTAAACTTGATCTAAGAGGCAGGGACAGCATACAGCTGTGTCAACTGTGACCACAGACTGCTGCTGTTACCAGGGCATCTGTGTACTTATCATGGCTGGTTACAATGAAGTTGCCCAGGACCAGACTCAAGCTCAGTTCTTTTACTGAAACATATAAATAACATGGAAAATACTAATACTAATAAGGTGCTGTGTGTCTATCACATACAGGAGGCAGTAAGCCAGAAGCCATGTTTATTAGAGATGCTACTTACAGGGATCCTGGGGTGTGGGGTGAAGAAGGCTGTCTGGAAGAGAAATCAGAGTGTTAAAAGAAGCATTGCCTATTTTCCTTGCAATGTAACAACTTACATGTATTCTCCTTGTCATTACAGATAACACACTCCATATATCCATCAGATTTATAAATGAGCAACTCATTGTAACATCTGGCTGCTTGGAAAAAAGCCCACAAATGTCTGACATTTCCTGGGATATTTGAAATATGAACATAAACCCAAAAACATCCTGTATATCCAACTGCTATGAAAAAACAATATTCAACCTTGTTAGCAAGTTAACTCCTGGCAATCTCCAGCTCACTTTGCCACATGGAGCCATCTCCAGTATTATTAGATTTCCTGATGCCATGGCTGACCTTGGTGAGTTCTCTCTCTGCTTTGAACCATATCTCAACATGGTTGTCTTAGGGATTACATAGCCATATTACATGATAGCATGAAGCAGCCTTTGGAGCAGTCTAAAGAGGCCCAAATAATGGGCCACAAAAATGATCATAGGAATGGAGCACCTCTCCTATGGGGAACAGCTGAAAGAGTTGGGGTTGTTCAGCCTTCAGAAGAGAAGACTCTGGAAGACCTTATTGCAGTCTTTCAGTACTTAAAAGGGGCCTGTATGAAAGATGGGGAGAGACTTTCTAGCAGGGTCTGTTGTGACAGGATGAGGGGTGACGGTTTTAAACTAAAAGAAGGGAGATTCAGGTTGGATGTGAGGAAAAAAGTCTTTACAATGAGGGTGGTGAAACACTGGCACGGGTTGCCAAGGGAGGAGGTGGATGCCCCATCTCTGTAGACGTTGAAAGCCAGGCTGGATGTGGTTCTGGGCAACCTGATCTAGTTGAGGATGTCCCTGCTCATTGCATGGGGGTTGGACTAGATGACCTTTGAAGGTCCCTTCCAACCCACACTATTCTATGTTTTCCATTGCTACATGACAGTCCTTAAAGCACTTGATTTTCACCGGCATACCTTGATTCAAATTCTCTCCGTAACTTGTCAGTGTGGCAGCTGTATCCAGCTGTGGTGTGCAAAGCTGACATGTGGATATCTACTATTTTTTGGAGGATCTGTGACCAGGATCAGCCCTCCTGTTGCAATACAGGCCTATTCCTTGTGCTTGCTTCAAGCTGCTTACTCAGACTTTGCTGGAGGGAACTCTGAGGTTTATGCATTTACACTCAGTGGATGCTGGTTCAATCGCTAGTGAACTTCACTGTAATTATAGTCATGCTCCCAAAAGTCATTTTGCAGGCTTCTTCAAAAACAATAAATTCTTGGTTTCTTGTTCCTTTTTTGTCTTTTTTTTATCAGCAGAAAGGGCAAGTTGAATCAAGTATGACTGGTTTGTGTGCTGGATCCAGTGCTGAACCCAGAATGACTTCTGGGAGGAGAGGGTCTTTCTCGGGCTACAGCACAGCATAAGGCACTGCATGCAGTGGAGGCTCTGGGAGGCTGTAGCATCACTGAAGTCAACTGTTCCACCCCATAAGTTCATGTCAGTGAGAAGTGGAACCCTTTGCTCTTCCTGGGAAAAGGTGAGTTGTATCCCAAGAGGACAAGCTGTTGTTCACTGGTATCTGTGAGAGTGAGCCAACCTTCTCCTGAGATCCCAGTGGAAAAATCTAGCTCACCCTCGAAAATGTATATGAATGTACTCCATGTTCTCAGCCATGACCTCCTTCAGACAGCTGCCACAGCTGCTAAACAAATCACAAACTCAAGTGCTACCATAAGGCAAGAGAACACAAAAATGCTGTTTGTAAAGAGGCAGAGGAGGGCACAACCTTCCCTAAAATAAAAAGTCCAAATACACTTTGACATCACTTCTCTAAAACAAAGGGAGATAATCTCAGAGCAAATGGGTCCTAAAGTTTCTGTAAAGAATTATCTTGAAACACTTTGTTTCTGAGGAATTTGTGTGGAGGTAGTGTGGTGATGAATTGAATGTTGTTACAGCACAGAACACAATCTTACTTACTGTTCCAGGTAAGCCTGGGGGTCCAGGGGGACCTGTGTCACCCTAAAGAGAGGAGAAATATGTATCTAAGGATATAAAAAGACTCCCAAATAAAACTATATGTTATCAGTTAGAAGATGCAAAGTTATCAGATGAGATATAGCCCAGAGACAATCTGCCAGCTCAGTGAGACTGCAAATCCCATAGCACTTGGATGGATGGAATAAGACAAGGGGTAATGGGTTCAAACTTAAACAGGGGAGATTCAGGCTGGATATAAGGAAGAAATGCCTTACTACAAGGGTGGTGAGGCACTGGCACAGGGTGCCCGGAGGAGCTGTGGCTGCCCCATCCCTGGCAGTGTTCAAGGGCAGGTTGGACAGGTCTTGGAGCACCCTATTTCAGTGGAAGGTGTCCCTGTCCATGGCAGAGGGTTGGAACTGGAGGTCCTTTCTAACCAAACCATTCTATGATTCTATGAATTTACTGAATTGCTCTGGCCAGAATTTCTGTTGTCCTTGGTTTGTTGCATTCAGGATTCTCCCTTAGTTGTCTTAATCACTTTATGATTTTGACTTCACAGGTCAATGACTTTCTAATGTTACTCCATTCTGTGTAGGAGTGATATGGAGTTTAATTTGCATTTTAAGTTAATCAAAGTTTTTGATTGAAAAACATGTTTCAACTGAACTTCTTTTGTGAATACAAAAAAATCAAATCCTCTGTGTTTCATCACAAATAAGTTTCTAAATTCAGTTTTCCCCCTAATTTTTCAGTTAAAACTATACTGTTGATGAAGTACCTCATGAGAGTTACAGACCAGGTGTCTTAGCTGCCATTAACATTCCTGTGGGCTATGCTCCACAAACATCAGTCCCCCTGACACTTCAAAGCCAACACTTGTTAACTTCCCAGATATAGGAAATTCAAGTGCTTCACTGGAGATGTCATTTGACCACCCATGAAAGAATTACAACCTCCATAGATGGTGAAAGTCACTGGTAAGCTTAGAACTAATGTATGCTGAGAAGAAGAACAAAGTGGTACCCTCTTCCCGATGGCTGTCATCACTATAATGAGAGCAAATTTTTCACTATACAACCACAGGCATCTGCAAGGTCCGTGCTTCATCTTTACCTTCATGTTCTTGAGGGTTGAGTGTAAATTTTGGTAGACATCCTCTTTGTCTAGTTCTCTCATTTTCATTAAAATTAATAGTGTTGTGATGGCAGAAGCCCAGACCATTCCCTAAATTATTGTTTTAGTACATCACAGGCAGGCATAGATAACGTCTTTAGGATTTAATTGCAGGCTCATTTCTACCAGCCAATTCTAAACAATGAAAACTTTCCTTGAATTACAGAAATTTTCCTTAAATTTCATCAGCTCCTTACTCTTTATTGCATTACTCAATAAATTATTGTCCCCACCCCACGCATGGCTTTTTCTGCTGTTTCTCTGTAAAGCTCAGCTAAAAGACTCTGAATGTTTCTAATCTTCCTCAGACATTCTCCTCTATCCCTTGTCTTTGCCTGCTTGTCTCTTCCTCTCTTGTCTAAGGAGGATCATGCTCATTTCATGACTTACCTTTTCTCCTCTTTCACCTTTCAATCCCGGGAACCCATCTTTGCCTTTTTCTCCCTAAAAGCAGTGAAAGGAAAGCAAGAAATACTCATGTTTTGATTTGATTCCATCAGTCCCCCTAGAATATTTTACACTTCCAGTTGATCTTACCTGTCCTCCAAGTTGTAGTGCAAGCAATTAAAAATGCAATATTTTGGAGATGGCTTCATAAAATCCACACTGTTTTCAAAGCCAGTGAATAGCAATCAAGTTCATGGAAAGGAACTTACCAATCCTAAAATAATTTGTATGTAGAAGATCCTACTGCTTGATGCAGTTATAAAAACCTCTTTCTTTTCTAGTTGGACAAGAGAGGCACCAGAACAACAGTTGAGACTCAAAGTGGACATTCATACTACCACTTTTGTATATATATATAAGATTTCTGAATCATCCATTCACTGGTGCCTACCTCTCTATTTTGCCCACGTAACCTGGTCATTTGAATGGGAGGTGCTTAACAAGGATGATGCGAGTACTCCTCAAAGTGCATACACAAAATGTATTTATCTTGCATTCAAATAGGAGAAATTTGACCTATATTACTATTATTTTACATATAGAGAGAATATATTCTGTACCCTACACTCTACAATACATACAGTAAACCAATTGGTAAGAACTCAGTTGATTTTAGCTCCTTCTTGATCACATTCAGATATGTAGTATTTGTATACTCCTATACTAGTATGTACATGAGTACCAGATCAAACCTCATTTATATGCTAAATTTACTGACAAACCCCTGATTCAACTATTTGCCAGTAGGTAGATGCCTCTGGAGGTCTGGAGCTAGCCAGGGGGAAGCAGTAGACACTAGGACATAAAGGGAAATTAAGCCATCAGAAAACGATCCAGCCATCTGAAGCCTTTTCCAGAGCTCAGTGACAAGTGGGACTTGTGATTTTGTTGTTATTATTTTAATGTTTTTAAATCAAGCAGGTATTTCTGACAATAAGGCCTAAAGAACACTCTACTTCTACTGCCTCACAAGCAGCGTGGCATAAGTCATAACCTTCTGCATTTGAGATAGAAACTCTTCATTAACACCTCTGCTGCATTTAGGAATAGTCATTAGGCAGTAAAGTACCTTTGTGGAAGGAGTACTTGTTGACTTTGCTGGACACCAATCAGCTGCTCAGCACAGCAATCACATCAAGAGAGAACATCATCTAGGAACACTGGAGATAAATCCTCCTGATGCCAAATGGCCAAAAAAGAATCAAGCTGTGCCTCAACGTCACTCACCCGGTCTCCTTTTTCTCCTCTCAGTCCAGGTAAACCCTGAGGACCAGGAAGTCCTGCTTCACCCTGAAAGTAAGACAAAAGTGTGAAATCTAGGAAAAGGCACCAATCACGGCTTCTATAAACAAATGCCATTAATCCCAAATTAAGAATGAAAAGGCAGAATCATGGTCCAGGCTCTTCTCTCACTCATGTCAGTTAGAAAGCATCAAGTCTAGTCCTCAGGGTAGGCTAATCTAGTCACAGTACCTCTAGGCTGGAGAGGATGAAACCTTTAGCTATCTATCTCTTTGTCTGATATTAGACTGTGAATTGATCAGAGCTCATAATGACTGCAGATGGTTTCTCCTTGATAACCTTGTCACACCATGATAGACATGGCCTATGCTATAGGCTAGAATCTGCACCAGCTTTTTCACTGGATTGAATAAGGATGTAGTTTGCTGAGAAAGAACAGGATTAGTTTGATAACTAAATCATTTCTTATTCTTCTTAAAACAGCAGCTAAACCTCTCTTTTTTTGCTGTTACACTGCTAACCAATTCCACAGAACTTAGGACATGTTTTCTTCATGCTGTTCTGTAGCACAAACAAGCAAACAAATAAAAACAGCTAAAAAAATTAAGTCTTTTATTTTCATTTTTATTGATCTGGAACAGTTTGGATGCGCAAAACTTGCACTGTATTAATCTGGATGGCACAGATGTTACCTGACAAAGAGATCTAGAGTTTTCTGGATATATTACTGCACATTCAGATTTCTTTCTGTTTGAACTTTACATTTGAGTTTCTGCTGTATAATACTTTCTATTGAAGTACTTATGATATCTGTAGCATGTGGTTTGTTCCCAATATATCAAATTTATTTGATAAATATATCAAATTCTCAAATTTAGCTCCTAGTTGGCCCAGTCTGTCATCTAAAAATAACCGTGTAGTTTCCTATTTATAACTATTCTGCTATCTACAGTTGTAGTGCAATATCACAAAGGATCTCAGGCATGGACAGGACCTAATGCACTAAGTGCTGTACAAATACTGGACTAAGAAAAGG